TTTTTTTGTTGGAAAATACCTGTGTGAAACAAATATATGAAAAATGGAGCAAAATATCTGTGAGGAGAGAAAAATAATATCTTAGAGGAGAAAAAAAGATAATATTTTCAAATTTGTTACTTGTTCAATTATAATGACAATGAGTGATGTTAGAAAAAAAATTTCAAAAAGAATTTCAATTTGAAAATCGTCTCAGTTACAAAATATTATTTTCACGTTTTCTCCAACTCATTCGCTTCGGGCATAAATGCATTATTAATGTTAAATAATTAGAGAATGTAAAGTAACGGATATTTTATTTTGTAGATTCGACGAGATATGGTCTGCTAATTCGAAGAATGATTGAAGATGCCTTTAAACAAATAATTTGGTAAAATTACAGCCCAATATGATCATTGATATTTCCATAATAGCTGTTCCACATCATCGCCAAACTCGACGATTAAAATTTTACCCATTTTTCAATAATTCTTAGTGTTGCATGATTTTGGAGATTGGAAATTGTTGAATATTCAAAAGATTGCCTGATTCGTCATTGGAATTGTGTGTGATTCAAATTTAGCATTTTTTCTATTTCATCTATGATTGAGAGAGGTCAACCAATAAAAGAAACATATTGAATTTTCAATCAGTTTTCAATCAAAAGTTGACTGAAACAATTCTTTGTTAGTCGTTTGCATGTCCACTTATTCACTCATTTTCTCATACCCAATACATTATCCAAAATTTCTCCAAATCTGTGTATTGTTTCATTGATTTTCTTTCCTTCAGGCCTTATCAGAAATTTCAAAGATTCGAATCCCCGAAAATATGGTTCGTAGTTCATTCTGATGTAGTTGAATGGGAGAACTGAAGAAATTCTTTGACAATCCGTCGTTTCTCAAGCCGGAAAGTACTTGTTTTTATTCTTAATTTTCGTTGCTAAATGACGAGATTAGTAGAAGACGACTATTTTATTCAAGTAAAGGTATCGATGAATTGATTTTTCGATGAAAAAATAAAATGATAACTTCCTCAATTCATTGAAATTGACTGATCTCTACATTTGTCAATTTCATTGGAAAATATTGAGAGAAAAAATATTGATCTCAAAAGCTCCTCCAGGTTTTTACATGAAATAACTCATTGCCGAAATAATTAAAAAATTAATATGTGATCTAATGTCTGGAGACAAATGGAAAACCTTGTATTGATTATTAATCAGAATAATATGTCAGTAACGTGATTCGAGAGAGAAATAGGATATTGTTTGTTAGCAATTTCGTCGGCCTCAAAAGATTCCTGAAAATTTCTTTTGTGGAATTCCTGATTTTCGAGATCATTGAGAAATCAACGAGCAACGACATGACCGAGTGCAATAGATACTTGTTCATCATTAACTGGCATGTTACTTTTGGTCATTTTTAGAGGGTGTGTCGAAAGACCATAATAACCCTGATAGACCAAACCCAGAGTTAACTCTGTGTTTTCTCCGAAAACTCTGGGTTTTCTACCGGAACCCAGAGGTAACTCTGGGTCTGATTCATCAGGGAAGTCTTCTCAGCTACTAGAAACAAAAAAAATGGTTGATGAGGGAGGGTGAAGCAGAATGGATCTTTTTTATTTCGTTTTCCATGTCTTCAACTTAGTTTGGACCCATCGTCACGGAGAAGAATTCCACTTGGCAGGAAAAAGAGGTCTCAGCCCACAATGCCTCTGAATTTATAACTATTTCAAAAGGAATCGAAGGTGTCCATATCGCCAAACTCTTTCCAATTTTCTTCTAAAGGTAATTCATAATATAACGAAATTTATGGACAATCCCACGATACCAGCTG